CAAGTAAAAAATTCGGGTGCTTGTGCTACATTGAAGCAAGGGATAAGCAAACCTTGATAGGATGAAAGCGAAGGACAAGCAAATATATGAGTATTACATTCAAGAAAATACAATATTCTGGTATATATATAAATACATCTATACGCCACTCCGTACATAATCAATTGCCTACACACACTAAGATACATACATATATGCGTGTACATACACCTACACCCACACGTAGCAATCATGTGTCATGCCAAGCACCTACCGAATATACCTGCAAGCCGTATGATTGCTGTACACGCTGGTTGATATCCCCAGCCCTCGACGAAGTCCCGAACATCCCCCCACCCACACTCGTACTTGCACCATATACATACGCACGTGTGTGTGTGTGTGCGTACACACTCTCAGGTATTGTCAACTCCATCTGCCCGTATGAGCTGGGCTTGTGCTTGTATCTCTGCGTGTGCATGTACACGGATGTTGCCTGAAGATGGGTCTCAGCCGTGGAGAAGTCCGTATTATGTCGGTGGGTGTATATAGGCGTGTGTGCGTGTGTGTGTGCGTGTGCGTGTGTGTGTGCGTGTGTGTGTGCGTGTGCGTGTGTGTGTGCATGTGCGTGTGTGTGTGCGTGTGCGTGTGTGTGTGCGTGTGCATGGGCGTATGTCCTGTCTCTCGCAGTTGGGGTGGGTGGTAGGTTCAATCCCCCTACCACGCTCCTATCAGCACCCACATACACCATACCCTCCAGTGCAAACAGACTACTGGGCGTGTGGGGAGTGTCCTGGGTGTGCCCTCGGCTGTTCGTGAGGGTAGGTGGACTGCTGTGAGGTGTGCTGCGGTGGTGTGGGCAGAACTGTGCGTGGGATGTCAAGTGGTCGTCTGGTAGGCACTTTATGATCTCCAGCGCTGTGATGCGCAGGCGTGTATAGGGCAGAGGTGGTCAGGTGAGTAAGTAGGGCATTTAGACTAGTACGTCGTGTGGTATGTTTTAATAGTAGTTAGGTGAGTAAGTAGGGCTTAGTGGTGTGGTGGGATATGTAGACTCTTGTGGGGGATATATATTTGTCGATATCTCATGGTAAGAACTGGTTATGTGTAGTATGATGTAATGATTGCTGTATGATGTAATGTATATATATATATATATATATATGTATATATAATCATTTTCCAGACAATAGAAATTGCACCGACACTTCAGCAAGGAGATAGATAAAACCCCCCAAATACAAACCTTGGAACCCCTCACTTACAAGATTAGAGCAAGTGGGTCAAACTGTACAGACCCCACCAACGTTATTGATTCTGCGCTCATAGAGTGTTCGGTAGACAACACAATTACTATTCTCATACACAGGCACACGCGTATATATATACATATATATATGTATATG